TACAACAAAGTGGATGATGAGGAACGCCGCATTCAATCCAGTAATGTAAAACTGATTCAAGTGTTGGACGCTTACCGCCACTTTGCAGTAGACTTTATTTTTGGGAATGTGTTTGATGGCAACCTAGAAGACACAGAGCATTGGTGAGCATTTCCTCAGTATGACATAATGAAAGGTGGAAACACAGCAGACGTCTCAGTTTACGATATTATCCATTATCTGCGTTACTGCCTGTCTTACTACCATCATCTGAACACTTACTGGAAAACGATCTTCTATCCGGTAGCCAGCAAACACTGCTCCGCAGCCTCCTTCTCCGAGCTGGTGCTCCTCCACATATCTGGCTTGGAATTCACCTGAACAGACAAAACAGCAAATCTTGTTTTATTACAGCTGTGACACAAATTACTCTCCTCTGTAGCCTAAATGTTCCTTCTGCCCTTCCCCTGAATATAAAACCCAAGCTGCTTGCTACTTACGTTTTTGGTCTGCCACTGATTTTTTGCCCTGGTCCACATTCCTTTTTTTTTTCTTGGGTGACTCTCTGTTGTCTCCCGTGGCCTTTCTTTTGCCATTTTTTGCGCACGCCTGTTTGTTGTTCAAGTCTGGAGATGTGGAAAACACCAAAAGCACATCAGCTCACTGGATGATAGACACAAACACTAAACACCAATATCTTAAACCTAGCAACCACACTTAATCTACCCCCTTATTCAACTAATTAGCCTACCTTTACCAGAGTCCAACGAGGAGGATGCTTGCTCCTTGTCACCGCTCATATGGTCGAGAAGTTTAGCCTTCTTTGCTTTCTTTGTTGTGCCCTCTTCATCTTGCACAACCTTGCGCTTCACTCCTTTGACCACATCTGAGCTGGTGGAAGGACCAGCCTGCTCAGCGACCCTCCTCCTTTTTATTGGGGTCTTCTTTTCAGGACTGGCCTTTCTTTTAGCAGTCCTGCTCTTACAATCTATAAACGACGACAACAACACAGTGGTGAAAAAGAGTCCCCGACATCAGGACTGGAAGCAGTTTGATGGCAAAGAATTTGAAATTGCTTTTGCTTAAATTATCACAAGTTTATTCTTGGGATAAAAAAAACTGACCAGTGCGAATTGATACTAGGTTTACTAAGTCTTAGATCTTGATGACACTTGTTGGTCTGTTTTTACTGTTGAGTCCAAGAATAAACTTATTACATTATTTTACCAAAAGACCGGTAACCTTTCTTTGATTAGACATCTTGTATTAAAGCTATTTTCAATCAAACATATGATTCAATTGCTCTAAAAATGATTCACACAGTGTCAACATTTCTAGGATTTGGATTTTACCAGGATTTTATTTTATTATTTTACTTACCTTGATCTCCTGAATCTTTCTTATCAGCTGGAGTGGTCATTTTTCTTGTTTCCTTTTTCATTGTAATTTCGGAGACCCTTTAAAATCGAAAATGTAAACCGTAATGAGTTAATATTGAGTTAATATTCCTTCAAATGTGCACCTTTCAAATGCTTGACTTTTCTAACTGAATTCTGTAAGTGAGCTTTATAAGTAAACTCTGGAAACTACGGCAACACAACATAGAATCTTGCCTTTCAGTGACTTCACTGACTGCCAGCAGTTCAAAGTAGTTTACAGAAAAACACTGGCAGACAAAGCCATAATATTTCATATAATTCAATCATTTCATATCAATTAAACAGTTTCTTTCATTATCTTTCATCGTTTGTATAAAGACCTCATCTATGGATGACAGTATGAAGATTTGTGGTTGACCACACACTAATAAACACAGTGTCAGCTACATTGTCATCTGATTTAAAGTATTTATTATGTACATTTAACTGTCATGGTACTGAGTCTGTGACCCAGTGTTTTGTGTTTGTTCATTTATATTCATTGATTATTCTTATGTATGTTTTTGGTTCTCTTTATTGTTTTCTTCTTGTGTCATATTCTTAGGCTTTAGGTTTCTGTTACTTTGCCTTGCCCCTGTGTCCCACGTGTCATGTCTAGTCACTCTTGTTTCCATCCATCCATCCATCCATCCATTCGCTTCCGCTTATCCTTTTCAGGGTCGCGGGGGGCGCTGGAGCCTATCCCAGCTGTCATAGGGCGAGAGGCAGGGTACACCCTGGACAGGTCGCCAGTCTGTCGCAGGGCCAACACACAGGGACAGACAACCATTCACACTCACATTCATACCTAGTGACAATTTGAATTATCCAATTAACCTATCCCCACAAGCTGCATGTCTTTGGATGGTGGGAGGAAGCCGGAGTACCCGGAGAGAACCCACGCAAACACGGGGAGAACATGCAAACTCCACACAGAAACATGCAAACTCCACACAGAAACTCTTGTTTCCATGTTCCCCAATTTCTCCCCAGTCAGTCATGTCTCTGTGTCAACTCTGTGTCTTTGTAAAAGTCTCTTGTTTGCTGTTTTACTTTGATAGTCATGTGTGCTATGTTAGTGTTTTCATGTCTGTTGAAGGTTCTCAGTCGTTCAGGTCATCGTAGTCTAAGGAGCTTGGAAAGAAAAGCATCTGGACTTCTTTAAGCTTCTTGAAGATGTTTCACCTTCTCGGATGAAAAGAACTTAAACTTTGCTTGAACGTCTTCAAGCAACTTAAAGAAGTCCAGACGTTTTCTTTCTAAGCTCCTTAGACTATGTTAGTGTTTTCAGTTTTCCTTCCCCATGGTCTTGTTGTTTGTGATTTCTCACAGCTGTGCTCTCATCCTGTGTCTTATTCCCTCATTTATCCCTCTGTGTATTTAAGCCCATTGTTTTCCTCTGTTTGCTGTTGGGTTGTCTGTGTATCATCCATGACAATTAAATTAAATAGCAAATGCAACTACAATTTCAATGAGATTCATTCCTGGCATTCTACTGCAGTGGCTGAAAGTAGACACCAAGCATTATCACTGTAACTGATGTAAATATTGGACTTGGAGGGGATTCATCTGATAGACTGATGCAAACATTACTGTGAGGAAAATTTTGAATCTCCCAATTTTCTTTTTTTCTGAAAGAAAGAAAGTTGGTTAGTGTATCACATTTGTATGGCAAGATGTGAATTCAGTATGCGTGTGTGTTTGTGTCAGAGAGGAGTTTATCTGAGCCAGGGGTAAAGCAGGAGGTCCTCCAGCTTTGGGCACTTCTCCAGGACTTTGTTAAAACTTGTTTTCAAGACATCTGAAATGAAAGAAGGACAAGAGATATCGAGATGATAATTCCAGTGATCCAAGCCATCACATTGATTTTCTGCAAAATTTTCTTTTTGAGAGTCATTCGGCTGGGCAGGGGGTATAACACATCTGCAATGCAGCAACATCTGCTCTCTGGGCCTGTGTGAGAGTGTTATCTCAATGGCGGGAATGAGGATGTTGGAATTTGGCATCTCAGGCACCAACTCATCTCTTTCCTTAACCGGGCTCACCAGAGATTGGTTTCAGCCTCTCTCCATGCTTTAAGGAGGTTGAGTTGATAAATCTGACTGGCCCTCCCCTGTCTGACCGTATCTCTTCATAGTCAACACCAATGTTCTCACCGTGTGACCATGAACGGTCCTTACCACTTGGCAAGTAATTTCGAGCTAGAAGAAGGGAGTAAGACAAGCACTTTATGTCCCTGTTAAAATACAATTACATTTTATCAAATATCACTAAGCAGTCCTTACCTTTAAATACAGCCTGGTTTCTTTCTCTTTCTTTCTATATCTCTGAGTGAAGTTAGCTCTCATTCTTTCTCTTCCTGTGAAATACAGCACGTGGAGCTTTAGCTAGCAACACACTGTGACACAGTTAGTGTTTGTTGAGGTGATAGAAATGCTGCATTTCAAATTACCTGACACAACATTTTACTCCCTTTTATGTTCACTCCTTTTTTTCTGAAGTACCGCAAATTATGGGTACGTGGGGTTGTTCTGGTGTTGTGCTAAAAATAAATAAATCAAAACTATGGTACATCCCCGTAGACTCCTATGATCAAAACACATACAGTATAAAAGTTATAGGTTACAGATCTGAAAAGTAAAACAAATGTCAAAGTGCAAAAAGACTTATGGTCCCATAGAAGTCTATTCCATTTGCCTGGAATTAGGTGAACACCTTTGTGACAAATTTAATGGCTCAGTCATTTGTTTCATGTCATATCTAATAAAAGACTGACATGGTGGCATGTTGAATTGTCCATTTTGCACATATTTGGTCATTCTAAGCGTCAGAAGGGGAAAGATCATTCTGGGAATGCCTACTGGCGAAGGATGTGTGACTGACAAGTCCAGTGTGTGAAGTCTAACTACAGTCTAAGGAGCTTGGAAAGAAAAGCATCTGGACTTCTTTAAGTTTCTTGAAGATGTTTCACCTCTCATCTGAGAAGCTTCTTCAGTTCAGAATTTCTTCAGAGAACTGAAGAAGCTTCTTTCTCAAGCAAAATATAAAGAAATTGAAGGTGGCTCAAGATGTTTTCCCAACACACATAATTATAACTAATCAATGTGATAAAAATGGCACAATGAAATAATTTCAAACTATATATTGTCAAACTACAACCCTGTGAGTGCTTACTGTATTTGGGTCATTACAAGCTTGTGATTTTATTTAAACTGTCTCTTTAAATTTAACATGTAAACACATGTTACACACTGTATGTTCAGGCAGTAACTACAGAAATAAGGGTATAAGGAAAATCCCTGTTGTTTATTAAGTGTGACAAAACTCATTCAGTCTGTAAACATTTAGTAAGCACGTTAGCAAGTGATTCATGGGGTGTCTCTGTGTATGTGTTGGGACGGCAGGGCGCATTTCATCATGTCATTAGCAGTCTAGCAAGCAGAAAGGACTTTTTCTGCACCTTGGAGCATGTTTCAGATCAATGCCCTTGGCAGTTCTTAAATCAATGAGTGATGCTGTAACTAGGGGACTCATCTGTGAAACAGACCCCTGGGAGAGAGCTTGAGTGAGAGAGCGGCTGTCAAAGAAGAAAGACGAGAGAGAAAAAATCCACAGTTTAAATAAACAAAAAGACAACTGAGGGGACAGGAGGACAGGCGGAGGGGAAGTGTAGGTCATCTTAGTGGATATGCATGTAGTATGTGTGGTATGGATATGTGCGTGTGTGTCTGTGTATTAAAGACCATAAAACAGAAACACATCCAGAAGCACTGACCTTTCTAAGTGCCTTTTGGTACAGCACAATGCAAACGCAATCATGTCTAAATAATTGGTTACTTGATGAGGCAGGTGAATCTCTGCACCTCCATCTTTCTCTCCATCTCGCTCTGCCATGTATTCCTGCAAAGTGTGCACCTCATACGGGGTGGGGGAGCAAAGTAATGGGCAGGAGGTGGAGCATGAAAAAGGTTAGGGAGAAAAATCACATCACCAGAGAGAGAAACGATGAGAGTGCGCCCACCACCCAAGGCCAGATGTATTTACCTGGGTAATGATAGTCATCTGGACCGACAGGGTGCGTATATGTAGTGTATATATATGTGCATGTGTGTGCTTGTGCGCGCGTGTGTGGTACAGGTGCTGGGTAGGCTAGGTTTCTCTTTGACTGCTAGCTTGCCAATTTATTTGCTGGCGAAAACACAACAGTGTCTCTTGTTCGCCCTTTCCTCTGTTTGTCCTCCCCTCATCTCATTTTTGTTAACATTCTCTTTTTATTCCTCTCATCCCATCTTGCTTCTCCAGTATCCTCTCTCTCTTTCTACCACCATCATCTCTCTGCTTTGCTTGAAACGTTGCCTTTATTAATTCATAAACAACACACTCCACACACGATTGGGTTCCATAGGCACCGGAGCATGATTCAATCCCCCTGCATGCACACATGCTCACGCACTTTTTCCTTGTTTATGCACCCTATTACCTTGCCTTCCCTCACCCCTCTTCTCGCCGGCTACCTCCGCCAGACAGTTCCCTACTTCAGCAGGCATAAAGTGAAGGCTACAGCCATTTGTGTTCTGTTATGTACAAATAGTTGGCACATTGACTCGCCTCTAGCACAAAGGGAGAGAAAGCAAGCTGATGTAAATACTTCGTTTTTGCCTCGGTTGTCCAGCGCTCTTCGCCACGGGTCATGGATCTTTCTGTTTTGCTGATTTTCTGTATTTTTTATTTTTCTCGCAAACATTTTTCGTTTTGTGCATTTGCAGAAAAAAGAAAAAGTCTGTCTGCGAGTGCGCGTACACGCACATTTGATTCATTTCTTTGGGGCATGTGTGTGACACTTGACTGCTCTTATCGAGGGTTGCCAGATGTGAGCCCTGAGGTCAAAGAGGGGTCCCATTTATGCGCGTGCACGCACACACGCGCACACGGATACATAAAAACATGTACATGCCCTTTCTCAAGCCTCCCTCCTCCCCGCTGGAAAAGAGTAGGAAGGAAAAGGAATGGGTGCTTGGATATGGATTGCTGGGATTGAATTAAAAACATTAGCTTGAGGCTGTACGGCTGAATTCTGATGATGAGGCCACCGGGGGAAAATGGAGAAAATGGGCTTTCGCTGCCAGGGCCTTGAAAATCCCTTACTAATGGAATGAGAAAAGGCAGATAGCAAGAGCGAGGGAGGGGAAGAAAGGATATCACACAGATGAGTGTGCGTGAATGGTTACAAAGACAATGCATTCTGTGAGTGTGTGTTCATGTGAGAGCAAAATGGGCTGAAACAAATGGAGCAGAGCCAGAAGGCCTCCAATGAAACATCATTACAAGTAGCTCCAGAAATATTATGCCAAAGGCATAACTAGCAATGCTGGGGAGGGCAGAGCAGATTATTTCCAAGGAGCACACAAGTCACAGCACAGGCACTCGAGCGCTAACACTTGGACACAACATTCACACACGAGTTTGATGTTGTTGAGTAGTCTCAGCTTCGGACGTAAATCGATCCAGCTCGGTTTAGATGGTTAGGACTTTTGCCAAATATGTTTAAAAGATGTGCTTATTTTGTTCATGGCGGACGTTTCCATTCCTGGTGCCAACCACACCGGAGTTAAACAAAAGATCGTATAGAATAGAAGGAAAAAATGCTGAAGGCATGAAGTAGCAAATGGTAACTGCCTTCTCTTAATCGTTGTCTTTATCCCTGTTATAAACCATTCTGGACTGTAGTCTGAGAAATATGGGCAGATGGTTAATTAGAAATAAAAAGCTCTGAGTGCACACTGAAGAAATGCCTGTTTCTTTTCCTCATTTTGCCTTTCTCCACCACCATCACGGTTAATTCTCTGGTAAATTCTCCAAGCGTTGGGCATTTCAGCCCCCTCATTTCTCTGTAAAATGAATAGAAGCATCTGACATGGGCTGCCATGGGCTTTAAATGTACAATCTGGCTGTTTTTATAATGGGAACAAATTAATAAGTGAATGTTATCTGTGAGTAGCAGCGCGGGGTGGCTTGCCAGGCCCTTTTGTTCCCGTACCACTTCTTTTCATGTAAAATGACAGAAGACACAAAACAGACGGAGCTCTTGGTCTGAACTGGATTTTGACACGGGTATTGACACACTTTTTGCGTGCTTGCACGTGCAATGTGGCACGCATTAAAGTGCACACACCGAATGCGGATAGGAATGTGTATTGCTTTGTTAGTGCAGCGCTATTTAAATGTGTTTGCGCGTAGTGTTTAGGATGAGACTAGTTTCAGGTTTGATGGAGAACGCGCGGCTTCCCTGTGGAAACATGAATTTTCTGAGCATAAACAGGCGGCCAGAGCAGGAATGAAAAATAAGGTGAGGCTGAATCAAGCATAGGTGGCCAGCAGCGTCTCGCTCCTCTTTCTCTCTCAATATTGGTATTGCGAAGTCACAGAGATGGCAATCAGCAGGAGATGTGTCTCGAAGATGAAAGCAGGGAGAAGAGAAACAGAAGGAGAGCGAGAGAAAGGACAGCCTCTTAAGGCACCTCTATCAGTCTGTCGTTAGGAGGGTAATGAACCCAGCACCAGTGCTGCCAAGCAACCAATGACTCACTCGCACACACACACAGCACATGCACAGACTATACCAAATAAACACACTAACAAAATGGAAATCTCTCAAGTACCTGAGACGTGTCCCTGCTACTCAGCCATTATCAGACCATCTTCCCAATTACACAATGTTTATGCAGAAAAGAGAGGATGCACACAGTGCATCATACGAGCAGGAGTAACAGATTGTTTCCATGTTTACTCAGATCCATCGTTCTCTTATATTTTTCCCAGGCTGCTCGGCTTTTGCCATATGCTGTAGGTTTTACTCCACTTGATGTGTTCTTCAAAGATCCATTTATCTCAGACAGAAATATGCCTTAAAGGATAATTCCAATCATTTTCCTCCTGGGGCGCACTTATCTAGATTTTACCAACACGCCATCTAATGATTTTTTTTTTCAGTTACCACACTAAAGAGCTGTTTTGAGCTGTTTGTGAAGTGTTTTGTAATTCATTCAAAATTTCTTCATATTTTGTTTAGAAATTGGGACATCGCCATAGTAATTTCTTAAACATGTGCAAAACCAATAGAAAAGCAATATACAAGTGTTCAACTCTTGTAGCTTGAAAGTCAGTATTTGGTATGACCATCTTTATTCTTCAGCACAGGTTGGACTCTTTCAGACAGCTTTTTTGTCATTTCTTTAAGTACTCTCCAGGAATAGTTCTCCAATGATCACTGTTGTACCTCTCTCCTGACGTCCTCCATATGTATTAACAAATATATGAATACAAATTTCATCACTCCATAATACCTGCTGCCACTGATTTTCAGTCCAGTTCTTGTAGAACTTGGCATCCTTGTCACGCCATTTCCCTCCCTGAAGAATGGCTTCTTGACAGCCACCCTTGCACTGAGACAATGGACAAGGCCTCAGCGAACAGTAGATGGATCAATTGAAGGATCAGATGCATCTCTCAGGTCCTGTGTCAGGTCTTTGCTCCATTGTTTCCATATTTCTTAAGGACATGACTTTCAG